CGACACTTTCTCTCTCTAAGAAGGACCCTTATTTAGTGATAAACATAATATTTATGATATAAATTAAAGAGAGAAAAAATAGCAAGTATGAGGGCCCCATGGCCACCCATACGTACCAACATTCACCCCTCATCCTCTACTCTCAAGTGTTCCAGCCATCTAAAAGGCTATTGAACCAGGTAAAAGTAGTCTCATCAAGGCCGCAACCCCACAAAATGCTCGAACATCAACGAACTTCTACGAGTGTCCTCTCAAGGTCTTGAAGAGGGCATTCCCTCTCGACAATTCATTGAGTTGCTCTATGTATTCGTCAAAATTGTCTAAACAACTTGTTATATATTCTATATAACAATAACAACTTAATACAATTTAAAATTATACTAAATTTTTATTGCTCTGTAAAATAAGTTATTATAACAATAACAAATTAACAATTTGTTGGGGAAAAGATACAATGAGACTATTTATCTTGGGTATAAGGTGGTCACAATTAATCTTGACTATTGATGTGAAATTGGGTATCTACATTTAATTTTCTCGAACTCTGTAACACATCCAAGCTGTCAAATTTCACTACATATGGTTATAACTACTTGTGACCTTTTCATATCAAAGGTAAATGGTCTCATTGTAGGCAATGCCTAGTTGTTAATATATGTGCAAGTTAAAAATATATTAGTATAAAATTATCATCTATATTAAATATGAAAATAACATAATCTATATAAAAATTACAATTTATTAATAACATAGTAATTTAATGCATTAAACTATGTGATGTTTTAATGTATTCATGACAATAAAAAATTCAATATAGCAATAATATTTTTAACATAGTAAATAAGTTAACAATTTTTATATAATTATATTCATTCAACATAATAATATTAACATAATTCTAGTGTAATCGTATCACATAATTATATTGACATAAGTTTCACAAGTTATTAAGCTAAATAAACAATAATAATTTCAATATAATTATACTAATTTATGTAATTTATTACATTGGAATTTCTTTTTGTAATTATATGTAATTAAAACTTAACTATTTATGTTTTTATTTTTGTAAATTATAAAAAAGAAATATATATTGCTAATCTAAAAATACGCATAAAATTTATTTTATAGACGATTTCATTTTTGTAGATGAACTTGCCCTTGTATAGAGAGAGAAAGAGAGAGAGAGATGGGGAGAAAGATGTTAATTGTAACGTAGAAGCAAGAAAGAGAGAGATGTTAATGGAAGCGTAGACATAAATGTATGAAATAGGGGTTGGAGAGAAAATGCTAGCTAATAATATCGCATATCGGAGGATTGTGGGAGAAAATAGCACCATAAAACGTATGAACCCCACGTCTTTAATGAAGGGTGTTGCTCATGAGGTAAGCTTGATGATAGGCATAAAAGCCTATTGCTTGTGAGCTAAGCGTGATATATGTGCTTATGTAAGTAAAGTTGGTGGGCCCCACGACAATTATTTTTATTGAAATGTTGTTCAAAAAATTCGGTTATATTGCAGGATCCAGATCACTCAATTTGATTTCCGATCAAAAATTATTCATAAACATCTAGTTCATTAGGAACTGTCTGGTTCTATCTCCAGTTCTCTAGCAAAGAACCAGCTCATTAGGAACCCTCTAGTTCTCTCTCTGGTTCTTTGGCGAAGAACCGGTACCGAATGGCTCGAATTGTCTGGTTTTGGGGGACACATCCGGATCTCTATATATTACATGATCCATATCGCTCAAGACAATTTTTGATTTGGATCAACGATTCAGGATCAACGATTTTTCAAACCTTAGATAATACATATTTTAATAAAAGACCAGCTTTTTATGAGCTTTAGGACTCATTTATACGGGCTTCTCCTCTTTATGATCCAGTTTCGATATGGATTTTGGACTTACTTTTTTAGGTATATATAATCTCTAACATAGAGATCATTAATATGTAAAAATATAAAAATTAGCAGCTATAAAGTTAAATTTTTGAAGAACAATGTTAGACAGTAAAGGACTACCACCCTGCATCCATCTTAAAACGGACGTGTGATGCCATTGAGGAGGATGCAAATGTAATCTATTACCCAACGCATAATTCCCCAAAGTTATTTTATCATGAAAACTCTTTCACACGAACGAAATGTGCCTCCTTTGCGGGACTGAAAACAAGATTTCATCTTGTGAAATCCGCTAGCGAGAATACGGCATGTAGAAGAAGACGCCTCCTTCAACTACCAGTCTTTCTCTTTGAAAATATTTTCCGCAAAAGATATTCTATTACGTAGGGAGTAAAATCTCACTTAGACTAAATTTTAGGATATAATATCTTCAGTCTCTAAATTAACCGCAATTAAAAAAAAAATCCTATTTGTACACTCTATGCACTTGTAAGAATATTAACTGGAGATTGAATAGAGACCCTCCAATTTAGATCTAAATATTAGAAAACTCAAACATTAATATATATTTTAGATTTAGTATTTAGTAATTCTTAAATATTTCTCAAAATTTCAAGTTGAAAAAATTGTTTAAAGTAAGCATTATGACATAGAGAGTAAAAATAAACTATACTTCCGAGAACATAATAGGGCAACAAGCTTTCTATGTTTCTTCTACAACATAAAACTTATATACTTCCTCTTATCGAACCGTCCATTCTGAATGGAGGGCTAAGATTGCCCCAATTACAATGTCACGTCTCAACACTAATTTTATTTTAAATTTTTTTTCTACAAACTATTTTAACACCAAATTGTGTACGTCCAATCCTCTATTAACCTCGCACTAGCAAAAAACATAAAAACATATTTCCAATAATATAAAATAGCCAAAATACCCCTGAAAATTTCAAGGGGTACTTTGGTCATTATATTTTATCGAAAAATTATTTTTTATAGGTGCGCCCCAATTAGATGACGGCACATACCAAATTTCATATCCATACAATTTGTATAAAAATAAATAAAAATAAAATACTTTGAGACGTCGCATCTAAGATCAAACAGTGAGTGGCTCTTGATCAAAATTGGACGACTGGATGGTAGGGGAAGCATAGATCTTCTATGTTGTAGGGAAAGTATATATACCTTTCCCAACATAATATTCGTGCTCTAATATTAGGGAAAAGTTTATATAGAGCCGAGGCTCTAAACAATCAAATTAGAACCCACTTCAAAAATTTCACTAGAAGAGGTTATTTTAATGCCCAAATATCATGAAATTGACCATTTCAACATCAAGATGCATGGACATGAGAAAAAAAAATGAATTTCAAATTTTGAAAAGTATTTTTGGACTATCAATTTTCAGGATTTTCAAAATTTCATAGATTTGTTTGGTCTAAACTATTTTTTAAGATTTAGATTTGTATAATTAAAAAATGAAAATATATTTCAAGACTATCACAAAGATTTCGGATAGTGAAACTACATTTATTGACATTATTTGAAGGTGCTAAACCCACCCCTAATATTAAAGGGATTTATGACTAGTAGGAAGCAGCAGTCTCTCGGAACTTAGAACCTAACCTCCGACCTTTTTTCTTTATTCTCGCTCCTTTTATTGATTTTTGCTCTCTATTTGATGCAGGGAGAAAATAACAAGAGAATAATAACAATAAAAAAATTTAAAGTTGAGAGAATATACCCTCTCTCAAACGTCTGCAAGGGAATTTACACCAAAAACAATCTCTTAACTCATTCACTTTCACTAATTTACAATGAAGGGATATTTCATTTTAAATAGAGTAAAACGAAGAAAAACAATAACTAAACAAAAAAAAATCTCTCTCTACTAGATTTTTCCTACTTTATCTCTTCTCCCTTTTTTCTCTCTTAACCTATTTTCTCTTATCTCTTTTTCTTAACTTCACATGTCAAGGATTTGACATTTGACCCAAAGCCTTCCCAACATTGGTTATTGTTGAAATGATACAGCCTTTTAGAAACTAACCAACCCAATTGATCAATACCAATTCAAGATAAACTCATGCCCACCTGATTATCCTAGCTCACTCCTTATTCTTAAGAAAAAACAAACAAACGGAACAAAAAAATAAAAAAATTAAAATAACTCTAATTTTTTAAATCATTCTCCTCAGGTTGGGAGCAGCTCGACCTTGAGCTTATCGAACTCAAATCTTTTAGGAGCCTTCTCAAAAGTTGGCTATAAAGTCTCACCATGAGCCTCGGTACTTTTTCTTCAATTTCTTCAAGACTGATATAAGACTCTTTGCCTGCAACTGCATTTCAAGAATAATTGTTGAATACGAGCTTAGGTTGATTATTCCTAATTAGGAATGGGTCCAACTCCAAAGAAGCACCATTTACAATAGACGAACACCCTTGACCTTTCATAGAGATTGATTTTAATATGAAATTTTGGGATATTGATTTTAATATCAAAATTAGTTGCTTTATAGAATGTCGATTTGGCTTGTTAATTTCTTCATTACGCTCGAAATTAACACTATGGGTTTGTCATAGAATTACTTGTGCAAGATGAATGTGGTTGCGAGCACCTTCTTCACAATGAAGAATGTTCTCCAACCGTTTCAACATCTGATTCATCTCTTAATTCATTAGTAATTCAGTTCAAAAACCCTCTAGGGCTTTAGTCAAATTTTTTATAGCTTGTATCCAATGATCTTCTAAGCTTTTAGTGGCATTGTAAAACAAGCCGGATATCTTTAGCCAAATTTTCTATAGTTTCAGTCAAATTTTCTATAGATTCTATCCAATGATCATCTACAGCAGGAAGATGATTACCTTTTAGTGGCATTGTAAAACAAACCAGACATCTCTGGATGTTAGTTGCTCAATCTAACTTGCTCTTTGTAGATCTAATTTGCTCAGATCTAACTTGTTTTGATACCAATTATCTTAGCTCACTCAAAAAACAAAAAAAATAATAAAAAAAATAAAAAAAAAAAAAAATTTAAAAATAACCCTAATTTTATTTGCATCAACCGTCGCTCTTTTGCGTCTCCCAAAATCTCCTCTCTCTCTCTCTCTCTCGGTTATTGCCCTTATCTTACCTTCAAGGTTCAAGCCATTAAAACTTGCCCCTCGTATCTTTCTTGTACACTACCCCTTTTTCTGTTTCACTCCCGATTTACCAGGATTGTTAGTTGTGAGTTGCGACGATCTCTCTCTGGCTCCTATAAAGCATATACCAAAGCGCTCCTCTCTCTCTCACTCTAAAAATCAAAACTGAAATCAAGTTGCTTTCCCAATGGGCACCAGAGGAGCCCTCACTCTTGCTTCTTTCTTTCTCTCTCTATTCCTTCTCCTGCGTTCTTCTTCTTCAGCTTTTGATCTTAGCCTCCCTTCAGAGGCGAGTTTTCCGCGTCCTCATGCAGAGAAATTGATAAGGGAATTGAACCTCTTACCCTCTGTTGCAGAGCCTGAGCCTCATGAAGTGGGGGCTTCTATGCCACGCCTTGTAGAGAAGAGGTTCGTATGGCCTGGAATTGTGGGGGATGCTGTGTCTGTTGAAGAGCTAGGTCACCATGCCGGATACTACAGCCTTCAGCACACTCATGCTGCCAAGTACGCACCATTCATCGTTTCTCTACTTTCCTCTTTTTTATTGTTTTCTTCTGTCTGATATTGCAATTTGCAATTCCCTATTTTCCCTTTCTGGTTTGCTTGATCCTTTTTTGGATGAGGTACTTTTCTTCATATGGGGTGAAACTACCATCTTTCATTTATGTGACAAGCACGATGCACAGTTTTTTTGGTTGATTGATGATCAGATGTTTATCAGTCACTCCATTGTGGATTCTTTCCCTACTTCACGAAATTCATTATGAATTGCTTTCCTAATTGACTTCTATTCATTTTGTTTCCTTATTAAACCTTGACAAAATAGGTATGTCACTCCTTTCAGTTAGGGCCGGCTTTTTGGCAACTCCACCTAAAAACATAGCTTTGATTTCTTTATCCTAAGAAAAAAGTATATATATATATATATATATGCTAAATCACTGTTCATTTACGCTTAAGGCCTTCCTCGATATATATATATATATATATATATATATATATATATATATATATATATAATAATAATATAGTAGACGTAGTATAAATAACAATAATAAAGTTAAGTAGACGTATACCTAACTAAACTTTA